GTGCAGTCCTGCGATCCTTGCCAAAGCAAGTGCGCAATAATTGCGGGCGCACGCCCACACGCAATAGGCAGTGCTCGCCAAACCGCCATCATGCTGCATTTGTTCTTGACCGGGATTGTGGGCCCGATGTGGCGCACCTGGTGCGTGTGGCGCACCTGGCACGTGTGGCGCACCTCGCGGACATCGCGCACCTGGCTGGCGTCTGCATTGATTCCCGATGGTGCTGAGACGCGCGTGCTACTTTTGCAGTGGGAAGTGGGTGGGAGCGACCAACGCGGCTTGCGGCTTGGGGTAGCTTTGATCACTGTTCCCAGCTAGTCAACACTCGCTCCCCCAGGCGACCGGCAGCCAACCGGGACCAATACACCCTCCCCACCATCCCTATCAAAAAGCAATAGAACATACACTTCGGGGCAAAACGTTGGGTCATGATTGTGGGCCCCGCGAACACGTTGTATTGTTTTTTTGTTTTGTGAGGGACGGCGGAGGTGCCCTCATACTGCCTGCCGTGCGCAAGGCTCCATCCATGTCAAAGAACACATAAGATATACCTCTGGGCTAAATCTGAATCGCGCGTGGCCACCCCGCAATCACTGTCCATTGGTTTTTTCACTAGGACGGCGGGGGTGTTGGTATATTGCCTGCTGTGCGCAGGCCCACCAGACACCATGATGGCCTCCCCGCCGCGATTGTGGAGTGGTTTTCGACAAGGATGGTGGGAGCCGACATGTGTCCTGATGTGTGCTGTCACGTGCGCTGGCGCATCTGGCACGCTCTGCGCGTGTCCCGAACGTGGCGTACTTGGCGCGGCTGGACCATTCGGCACACATGGCGCACGTGGAGCACGTGGCGCATCTGGCGCACCAGGCGTGCCTGGCACGCTTGTGCCCAAGCGGGGCCTGGCGCACCTCGCCCCAGCGTCACGCACGTGGGGTTCGTTTTGATTTTCAGTAGCTGTCCATCCATGGACGACCGCTGAACACGCTGAGGCTCGAGTGTTACTTCTGTTGGGAGCGCGTGCGGGAATGAGCGAGACAGCTTGTGGGCGGGGAGGGTGCCTTGGCCCCTCCCCCTCCCCCCTCCTCCTGGGTCTGGGCGAGGCGCCCCACGACCGATTGGAGCGTCCAAGGTAGCCCAAGATGGCTCCAAGAGGGCCTCAAAGAGCCCAAGATGACCTCAAACATGACTCAAGAAAGATGGCTCAAGATGGCTTACAAGATGCTCCAAGACCGCCCCAAGACGGCTCCACCTGGTCTCGGACCACCCCGAAGAGAACACCCAATAGGCCAAACTCCGTGAAACACCTGGGGAGCCTCAATGATTTGTGCCGTCTCGCCTGGCCGCTGTTAATGGCCTTCCGAGGCCTCAGCATAGCTCTAAGATGGCCCAAGAGGGACCCAAGAGGGGCCCAAGAGGGCCCCAAGGCAGCCCCCTGAGCGCCCGAGAGGTGCCCAACGAGCATAGAGGCTATCGAGGGGTAGTGGTAATTGGGAACGCCCCTTCTTTGATCGACGTCCTCCAGGATGGCCCCCGAGGCTCCCACGAGGCCTTCGTGGAAGCCTTCACTGGAGCCTTCTTGAGGCCCTCGTGACGACGGCCTCAAGTCCCAAAGGCTCCCACCATGCCTTCACGACGGCCGCACGAGCCACCAAGAGCGCCCCGAGGGCGCCCCCCAAAGGGCGCCAAGAGCAGACGTTTCGAACACAAGAGAGATAACCCTGTTCCGCGCAGCCATGTGTTCCTCCTTCTCTCCCCCGATCACCATCATCATCATCATCATCATCATCATCATCATCATCATCATCATCATCAGCATCAGCATCAGCATCAGCATCATCATCACCATCATCAGCATCATCAGCATCATCATCATCAGCATCATCATCATCAGCATCAGCATCAGCACCAGCATCACCATCATCATCATCATCATCATCATCATCAGCATCTTCATCATCATCACCAACATCATCATCATCATCAGCACCACCACCACATCATCATCATCATCATCATCATCATCATCATCATCATCATCATCATCATCATCATCATCATCATCATCATCATCCTTCTCGTCCTCTTCATCGTCCTCCCACCTAGGGCTTACTCAAGTTGAGTGCGAACCTGCTCTACTGAATCAATATTCGTTGCGATCGCCGTCATCTTCCTCAACTGCATCCTCCTCCTCATGCTCCTACTCCCCACTCATCATTTCTCCTCATCTTCCTCCTCCCGCATCATCCTTGTCCTCCGCCCTTCCTGAAACTTCTGTTCGGTGGCCAGCGTCCCCAGCTCTCTGTTCCACTGCATGCTCTCCCACTTCCCTGGTTAAGGCAACTTGTCTGGACATAGAATGCTGTTAAGGCAACTTGCTGTTCCACCCACTTCCCTGGTGAGTATGCGCGAAGCGTCGAGAATTTTGGATCCACGTCCATGCCCCAAATCGTTGACATTAGAATGTTTGTTTGGAACTTTGTGTCACACCTGGCAACCAAAAACGATGGCCTGATCAAACGAGAACAGTGCGCGCACGGATTTGTTGTAAGGAGAAGGAGGAGGAATGGAACGCGACCGCTGGAGGGAAGATGAGGAAGAGGAGCAGGAAGAGGGGATGGAAGAGGAATGGAGGGGGAATGGGTAGGAGGAGGAAAAAGGGGGAAAGAGGATTTGATTGGATTGGATTGGATTGGCCCCTCGCGGTGCGATATAAACAACAAAAAATGCCACCTCCTGAACAAGTCGAAATACCCGACGGACAGGAAAGCGGCCAAGACAGGCATGAGACAGAAACTCGAGGAACTGCGACAAAGAATTCCAACCTGTACGCAGAGCGGAAATTAAGCCCCAAACGCCGATGCCTCGGATGAATACCTCATTGCACACAAAGAATAACACCCAGCAAAGCAGAGATGAATTCAAATCGATACGGCCATTTCAATGATGCGGCAAACACCACTGGTCACTGGGCAAACTTTTATTCAAAAAAACGTGATACACCGCCACTTTACTATGGAAAATTCCCCCTCTCGTCCTCCGGAACCCGGGGGGTCCCCCCCCCCTCCGAACATCCTCCCCCCCTGCTCGAACCCCTCCCCACCTCCCCCTCCCTTCCCCCGGCAAAACTCCCCCCTCCCCCTAACCCTCCCCCCCCTCCAGAAACCGGGGGGGGTCACTGCCAGTTCGAACCCCCCCCCACACTCGCCACCGGCAAACGACTGTCAGTCCCCACCACCGTCCTCACCACTGCCCTCACCACTGTCCCCACCACCGTCCCCACCACTGTCTCACTGTCCCCACTGTTCCCACCATTGTCCCCACTGTCCCCACCAGCGCCCTCACCACTGTCGCACTGTCCCCACTGTCCCCACCACTGTCCCCACCACTGTCCCCACCACTGTCCCACTGTCCCCACTGTCCCCACCACTATCCCACTGACCCACTAGTGTCCCACTGTCCCCACTGTCCCCAGCACTGTCCCACTGTCCCCACTGTCCCCGCCGCTGTCCCACAGAGATGTCCCACTGTCCCCACTGTCCCCGCCACTGTCCCGCTGCCCCCACTGTCCCCACCACTGTCCCCACTGTACCACTGTTCCATTGTCCCACCACTGTCCTCACCACCGCCCTCACCACTGTCCCCGCCACTACCGTCCCCACCACTGTCCCACTGTCCCCACTGTCCCCACCACTGTCACGCTGTCCCCACTGTCCCCGCCACCACCGGTTCCTACCACTGTCCCCACTGCACTGTCCCCACTGTCCCCACTGTCTCCACCACTGTCCCACTGTCCCCACACCACTGTCCCCATCACGACCGTCCCCACCACTGTCCCAATGTCTCCACCACTGTCCCACTGTCCTGAAGAGCGGGAGTCGTTTGTCCGGCGGCGAGAAGGGGGGGGGGGTCGAACCGGCAATGATCCCCCCCTTTTCATGATGGGCCAGGGGAGAAGGGGTTCGAACCAGTGGCGCCCCCCCCCCTCCGGTTTTCGAGGAGGGGGGGGGGATGGGTTGGGAACCCCCAGTACCCCCCCCTTGTTTTCCGCCAGCAGCGGTAGAACACGCTCTGTTCTTTATTCCGAACACGCTCACGAAAACTGCACGCTTACTGAATTCTTTTATTTCGCAACCTGCCTCCCCGACTGCCAAACTAAAACAACAACTTCTTTCCTCCACACACGCCTGAACACGCAAGATAAGCTGGTCTATGAACCATCAGAAAACAAGAAACCGACCCTCCCCAGGCAAGACACCCGCACTGAAGCTGATGGTGCCAGCCCACACCGTGGCACGATGCTTAATGATATGGAACATGTGAACCACCTGACCAAGAACACAAGAACACCTTGACCCGATAACAAGACCAATAACACAACACCGCCGACAACGGTACCCACCATACCCTCCGGCTTTGTCAGATGCACGCATTGTAGGTGATGTTGCCAGGTGCTGGTCTAAGAAGGGCCATGGACGTCGCACTGTCCCGAAAAATACTCCATGAAGACGTGCTGCTTGCTACGACCACAGCCGCGTGGCTGCTCGTGGTAGCCGAGGAGCCCACAGTGGAAGTGGCCGGGGGCGACGCACGGCCTGCACCAGTACAACTAACAGACGTCCTGCTTGAATCCCCAACAAACACTAGCAAATGCACCGCACCACCAGAAAATAAAACGCCATATCCTCAACAAGAGGACTTGGGAGATGCACGCATTGTAGCTGATGACGCTGATTGCTGAGTGAGATCCTGCTTGAAAAACCAAACGAAACTCGTTCCGCTTAGCCACCATTATACTTGTCGCAAACTGATTGGTGGTGACCGGTGCCCCTCTGTCGCCGACGTGGAGGCACGAAGCTAGGAGTCCCATGGCAAGTTCGAGCCCATAATTACGGGTACGACACGCGCCTCGGGCCGCCTGTGCTTCAGAGAAGTGGGAAGGAGGAGAACGAGGAAACAGAGGAATGGAGCGGAAAAGTCAAAAAGAGGAGGCAGAAAGGGTCCTCCATGGCGACCTGCTCGTCCGGCCCGATCGGCGCCCTGGGGCCGCCCCTCCGCGGAGCGCGATCGGGAGCCGCGTCTGCGCGGCGCGGCAGGGCCCAGGCCGACAGTCTCCCTGCCGCGGGTGGGGCGAGGGCGCCGTCGTCGTCGTCTTTTGCCGTCGCCGTCATCGTCGCACGTGTCGCCGCCGTCGCCGTGCTGCGACCGTGGGGGCTCGAGGTTCGAGGATGAAGGCCTTCGGTATTGTAGGCCTTCTTTATATGCGTCCGGGGCATCAGCAGGAGGTTGCCCAAGGGGGAAGAGGAGCAGGCTCGACGGAAGCCTGCCAAGATTCAGGTCGAGGCTCAAGCGTCCAGCCTCCGAGCCCCAAGATACAAAAATCAGTGATTCTCTTAGGTTTTTGAAGGTTTTTGGCTTCCTCCCCTTTTCGCCTTTCCGACGCTCCAAGACGGCCCAAGAGGCTCCCAAGAGCGCCCCAAGACGGCCCAAGAGGCCTCCAAGAAGGCCCCAAGACGGCCCAAGAAGGCCCCGGGGCGGCCCAAGAGGCACCAAGACGGCCCAAGAGAGCCCCAAGACGGCCCCAAGAGGGGCCCAAGAGAGGGACCACGAACCGAAAACTTGAGCTTTCTGCCCCGAGAGGGCCCCAGGACGCCACGAGAGGCCCGCAAGAGGCCCAAGATGCCGCCAAGAGGCTCCCAGGAGGCCCCAAAAAGCTCCCAGGCGCCTCCGAACGGCCTCGCAAACGATCCCCAAAGGCCTCCCAAACGGCACCTCCTCCTTCTCGCCACTTCTCGCCTCCTCCACCTCGCTCCTCCTCCTGCTCCGCTTTCCCCCTCTTTTTCTCGCCAATGCACTGTCGCCCCTCTGCACTGCGACCACCCCCTTTTGCTCCCTTCCTTCCAAGCCCACGCACACACACACTCTCTCTCTCTCTCTCTCTCTCTTCTCTCTTTTCCCTCTCACGTCGAGGGGCATACTTGTCGCAACAGTTACACTGTGTTCATGGCCCCCGCATGAGAGTCCACGAGCAACGAGCCCCCACAAAGGCGCCAGGGACACCCCAGAGCGGCACAAGCTAGAAGCCCCGTGGAAACAACGATTCCCCAGACACCTCCTCAGAAGGTCGACACGAAGCTGTTTCGCGGGGGCAGCTTCAACACCACCATCCCGAACGCAACGCCTCAGAAAAACATGCGCCGACCCCTGCAGCTCCGCACTGCCGACGACCTCTCGCCCAATCGACCGCGGTGCCTCATCATGGGCCGGCGGAATGAGCGAAGCGATTAAATATAACAAATACTCTTTTCATAGAAGAAGTTTGTGTTCGACAAGTCGGCGCGGGCTGAAGAGAGAACGCCAATCGGTGTCCAACATATTTGTCTACGAAATTGGCTGCATCCGCGCGTTGGGTAGTTGAAAACTCCAACCGATCAAGATTTTACGAAGACACCTTGGACTTAATGCAACGCCAGCGGCGATGTCGGCCAACAGGGCCAATCTCGCGGAACACCCGGGGGATGTCAATCTCGCAGAATACCCGGGGGCGGCGCGGTGAAGTTCTGATGTGAACAACTTTGTGCGCTCCCGGAGGAGCGGCGGCGGAGTCGGCACAGGATTTTGAAGCCCGAGAGGACGAGGGGGGGGAACGAACGCCGCCGCGACTTCGGGCGGCGTTTCGCCAGGCAAGGTGGCGACCCAAACCAGCATCGCCCGAGCTGCCAGCGCCGCAGGGAGGAGGACAGCCGGGGGGGGTCGAACCTGGGGGGGGGTGGAGAGCTCTCAAGGGGGGGGGTGTCTAAACGAGGAAAAGAAGCCCGCCCCCCTCTCTCAAGGGGGGGGGGATCGACCCGGGGGGAATGACGCCATTGACCTTCCCCCCTCTCCCCAGACCGAGCGCCGCACCCGACACATGTCAGGCGCGAGCGGCCGTTGTCGGCGACGAGCCTGGGGGGAAGTCAGAGGGGGTAGGCCTTCTCATCTAGACGCCCGAGTTGGGCACGGAAACAATGAGCACAATGCCCAACAGCAATGTTGTCCCGAACCAGCAGCGGCCGCTGTGTGGCAGGCGGCCTTCTTCTGTCTCAAATGGACCTAATCCGCGGCGACGCCGACAGCGAATCCTGCTCAAAATGAACAAGAACTGCTGTCGGTCTTTGTACCCATTCTTTCCGTACCCATGTCGGTCGTCCCGATCTCAGAAGGCTCGGAAGGCCTCGGGCCTTCTGAGATGTCTTCTGAGCCTTTCCCGAAGACGCGACGAACTCCTCAGAAGGCCGGATGGCTTCTCAGAAGCCCCACCGCCATCTCGCCTTCTGAGAGGGCCTCCTCCATCTCACTTCCCGCCCTCGCTCGCCGCCGAATTTGAGCCAAAATGGCCACGGGCATCCTTGTGGCCGTTTTGGGGCCTGGGGTCCTCGCCCATTGCGGCAGGCGGCGTCTGGGCGACTGGAGGGCCATCGGAGCTTCCACTGACGCGCCCCACAGCACGCTCAGACGACTCTGGGGCTGTACCCGTCGGTCGGAAGAAGCGGGTAGAGACATGGAGCAGGAAGGCGTTGGAAGTAGATTGGGCGTCCGCCCGTCCCCTGAAGAGGAGAGAAGAAGGACAACCGCTCGACTCTTGAAGTAAGAAGGCGCTGCAATAGATTGGAGTCTGAATATCTAAGAATACATGCTTTCAACGATCCGCGTGTACCCAGAGCCGGGAGCCTCCCGCCCAAGAGGTCACAAGAACTCATTCTGGGATTATATATATATATACATTGAAACGCTGAAGCCGTCAGGCGCCCACCAACTTATCCGAGGCCTTCTAGGAAACATGCCTCGGCCGACCGACGAACTGGAAATCCCAGACACTCCTCCAAAGCCAAATCTGAAGCGATTGGTCCTGGAGGAGGAGGAGGAGGATTTACTTGTTTTGATCAGCTGGGAGATCTCCTGGGGCGGGCGGAACACTGGGGTGAGCCACTTTGCCCTGCCCTTTGGGACAGAGAACGCCACGCGACGGCCTGGCAAGCACACAAGCGCACCACATGCAAGCACCTCGCACGCAATGCAAAGACGAAGGTAGGACGAGGATAACATCGGGTGAAGGTAAATCGAGAATCTCTGAGATCTGGCGGTTCTGGAAAATGTCTCGGGCGCCACGGCCTTCTCGGAGAATTCCGGATCGCTCTGAGAGCGTTCCCGAACGCAATGGAATGGCTTTATCCTCGTCATAGCCCCGTAAGAAGTGCATCTCTTCTCGGGGGTATCAAGAACTTCCTGGCTTCCCCATACAACTTTGGGACTTTGGAGCACTGGTGACAGATGCTGGATGAGGCCGTCGTGGATGCATCTCTGGGGAATCCAAAGAGGTACTGGCACCGCTACTCCCAAGGACCTCTCTTGGGGTGCGTTCTGACCAGAATTTCGAGGCGAATCCAGCCGTGGCGAGGAGGGCCACCCAAGAGGCCCACGAAAAAGAAAACGAGGGCGAGGGTAGTGGTACGGGTACCTTTTCCTCCTCTGAACTTCGGGGCTGGTGTAGAGGTATCTGGGTATCTCTTGGCGAGGCAGAAGTGGCTGGAGTCGGCCTCACTCTCAAACCAATTGCCCCCTCCCCCTCTGTGGGCGCCCAGAAACCCCAGGCGCCTCAGGCGAAGCCGCTCCGCTCCGTCCACTGGAAGCCGCACGTGGAGCACGTGACGAACGTCACTGCGGTCATGACGGGCTCGCCCCCGCTCCTGGTGCTCTTCGGCGGCGAGCGAGAGGGGGAAAGACGAAGGAGAAGGCCTTCTCAAGAAGGCGGCGGGACTTCTCAGCAACCCCTCGCGCCTTCTGAGAGGTTGTTTCGGTGCCTTCGGGGAAGGCTCCGAGAACTTCTCAGAGGGCCGGTGGAACTCCGAGCCTTCTGAAAAACGCCTTCTCCTTCTCACCTCCCGGCGGTGCTCGCCGCCGATCCCGGTGCTCGCCCTCAGAAGAGGGGGAAAAGGTACCCATACCGCTACCCTTCCCTTGTTGTTTCCTTCTTTTTCGGCCTCCTGTGCGGCCCTCGTCATCATCGCTGGATTCACTTCGAAATTCGGGTCAGAACGCACCCCGGGAGAGGTACAGGGAGCAGCGGTTTTGGTACCTTTGGGTCTCCCTATCCCCCCGCCAATCTTGCTCCTCCCTCCTCTGCGCATGAGACGTCTATGCACCACCGTGCCGCGAAGAGGTGCCCCTAAGGGAGACCTCTGGGATGGGATCGGACCAGGTGGGGTCGGAGTATCGCATCGCCGACGCATCGGACAGGAGGCCTCGATCCTCCGACCCCATCTGCTCGGGCCGCACTTGAAAGGCTTGGACGTGGATTTATGCTATGCACCACCATGGCGCGAAGAGATGCCGAAGAGGCCCCCAAAAGGCTCTCCAAATAAGCCAACTCGAACCGACTTTTTGGAGCCCTCCACACAAAGATGACACTCGAGAGAACCAGCAGACCCCAAAGATGCCTCCAAGAGACCCCGGTGAGCACCCCAAGATGCCCAAACTATGCTTCCAATCGGCCCCAAGAGATTCCCAAAGACGGTGGCGGGATGCGCCAGACGCCACCAACACCCTTACCTGGGCACCGCCGTAGCGTATACGTCACGCTGGCACAAGCCAGGGAGATATCTGCGCAATCAGCACCACCGAATCGGGAAATCGGATCGAATCGGAATGTGCGTCGGATCTGGCCGAATCGGCACGACATCGAAATCGAATCGGATCGGCCGCGCCTGGAGGCACAACAACGCCGCGCAAGCATCGGACCGCATCGAATCGCCAAAATATCGGCATCGAATCGGAACAGGACCGACGAAACCGATGTCGAGTCGGGTCGATTGGATCGAACTGTTCCCTACTTCGTGGCGACGTCCGCCGCCTCCTCTCCCCCTGGCGTGGGGGCGCTGGGACTCCGGAAGCGGCTCGAACGGCCTAGGCCTCGGCGCTGCTCGCGAAACTTGGGCCTCTGGCCCTCAGCCAGAGACTCTGAAGCGCCCCTCCCGACTACCAAATAATTGCCGTGAAGGAAAAGGGCCCTCAAGGAAACGGGTCCTGGGCCCTGGGGCTTCCCCTGGGAGCAACTCGTCATCCCCAGCCGCGTTTGACGGTCCCGGGGCCCTGATAAGAGACCACGAGAACGGGAAAACGTTAAGCATCGGGGCGAAAGACCTAATCATATGCAGTTGTGAGTACCGTGTTGTGGCACCGCTTTTGTTGGAGCTCCCTATGGGGCCACGGGCCGTGTGAAGGGTGCGGAAATGGGGCGGCACCGCCATGCGAACCCAGCCACTGAGGCCTTCGGTGGCTGTCCCTATGGGGCCACGAAACGTGTGAGAGGTGCGCCAAAATGGAGCGGCGCCGCCATGTGGACTCTTCCACTGGGGCCTTCGATTGGGATCCCTATAGGGCCCCGAACCGTGTGAAGGGTGCGCCAAAATGGGGCGGCGCCGCCATGTAGGCCTTGACTCTGGGGCCTTCGGTGGAGCTCCCTATGGGGCCGCGAACCGTGCGAGGGCTGTGCCAAAATGGTTGACTGGTGCGGAGGGCAGAGGCAGGAATGGGAGGAGGGAGAAGGAGAGGAGCAAGACACGGGCAGCCACAGGGTGGTTGGAAAAAACTCCAGGGCCCATGCCCCTCAGGACCCTCCGTCGTTCATGACCAGGGACGAGGATCCGGAAGAGCAAGGGCCTGAGGAGTAGGAGTCGGAGGAAGCGGGGGGGGGGGAGGACGGAGAGGAGAGGAGGAGGCGAGATGGGGAGCGGGGAGAAGCGAAAGGGGCTGGGACGCAGAGGGACATAGTAGTACTATGCGTCATCCTCGGAGGCGTGCGCCAGATCCGAACACATGGTCTGAACATCTTGTAGCGCATCGTTTCCCGCGCGGTATAGCCAGGAAGCGCCCACCGCAGAGCTCGCACTATAAGATTTCTCGGCGCGCCCGTCGCCCCTGGGGGGGCGACGCGCACATAGTATCAGTATGAGCGCGTTTCTTTATGTTCGGCGATGACGGGCGTCATGGGGTGGGGGGGGAGGGCGGGGGGGTATGACGTGACGCCCCCCCCCCCCCGCCGAGTGGCTCCGGCACCACAGCCGCGCCCGCGCGCACGACGCGACGAGCGACGAGCGACGAGCGACGACGACGACGCGAGCAGCATGTAAGTGGCGATCTGCCCGTTGCGCCTGTGTACACCACAGCGCTCGCGTGCACCACACCGCGCGTGTGCACCACACCGCCTGCGCACACCGCAACAACCGTGTGCAACGCACCGCCCGTGTATACCACAATACTTGGGAGCACTACAGCGCCGGTGTACATACACCGCAGCAGCCATGTGCAACACAACGCCTGTGTACACTACAGAGCTCGCGTGCACCGCAGCGCCTGTGCACGCCACAGCGCCTGTCTACACCACAGCATCCGCGTGCAACGCAGCGCTGGTGTACACCACAACGCCTGCGTGCACAGGACAGGTAGAAGAAGCATGTACGTCAGGATCTGCTGCGGACAACTAAACGCCACGCCAGGAAAGTTCTGAGAATCGAATGCGACGTTTTTCCCTCCTCCTCCTCCCTATTCCTCCACCTCCACCTCCACCTCCACCTCCTCCCCCTCCTCCTCCTCCTCGTCCTCCTCCTCCTCCTCCTGCTCCTCGTCCTCGTCCTCGTCCTCGTCCTCGTCCTCGTCCTCGTCCTCGTCCTCGTCCTCGTCCTCGTCCTCGTCCTCGTCCTCGTCCTCCTCCTCCTCCTCCTCCTCCTCCTCCTCCTCCTCCTCCTCCTCCTCCTCCTCTTCCTCCTTCTTAGCCCCTGTCATACGGCTTGGCGTTACAACGCACGTGCGCATCTCAACGTGCACCGCAGAATGGTCGATTGAATCGGTCCACTTGGTTCTCGGACGGCCAGTTTGGCTGGAGCCTCCTGGACGCAAATGGGAGCTAGGGTGATGCGGGCGGACTCGGGGGACTCGTAGATTCCAGCGGCGCTCCTTTGTCCATAAGGATTTGTTGTCCATTGTTTTCTCTGGAATCCACACGCGCTCCATTTTGTCACAAGGATCCTTTCTGAAATTCTATACACAACAATGGTGCTGTGTTGCACACGGCTGATGTGGTGCACACACGCGCCGTGGCGTACACAGGCACGGCAATGCACGCAGGCATTGTGGTGTACGCTGGTGCTGTGTTGCGCACGGCTGATGTGGTGTACGGAGGCGCTGTGGTGTACACAAGAGCTGCTGTGCCCGCAGGCGCGGTGGCACAAACTGAAGCTGTGTTGCACGCGGCTGCTGTGGTGTACATCGGCGGTGTGGTGTACACAGGCGCTGTGGTGCACGCGGGCACTGTGATGTACACGAGCGTTGTGGTGCATATCGCCACCTACATGTTCGTGCTACCCGTCCTCCGTCATTCCTAAGCATTCCTAGACGCCGCCGGCGCGAAACGTGACGTCATCGACCCCCTCCCCCCCAAATGATTGCCGTCATCGGCCCGGACTTAAAAACAGGCTCCAGCCGCGTCCGCGCTCACGACGACGATGAGCGACGAGCGACGAACCACGAGCGACGACGACGGACGACGACGACGACGACGACGACGACGACGACGACGACGACGCCTGCGGACCAGACACCTATGCGGATTCCTACGCGGACACCTACGCGGATCCCAATGCGCACGGCGGCAGTGCCCGGAGGGCACTGGGGGGAGAGCGTTACGTCATAGGGGGGGGGGAACGGGGGCCATGACGCCCGTCATGCCCCAAGCAATAAAGAAACGGGTTCTACGTTGGGGTTACGATGCGGCCCACGGGCATCGACGTCGTCATCGTCGTCGCCATCGTCGTCAGCGACGACGCGAAGGCGGAGGAGTCGGAGGGGCGAGGACAAGCCAGGTCACTCCCTCCCATTTAAATGTCACATCGATTCGCACAGTCGGGCGGATGTCGAGCAGGGCAATGGTCGCGAAAGGGTACGCGATGCATGGTAGATCGCGGCATAGCGTGGCGCAGAAGAGCACGGCAGAGCGTAGCATGCCATAGCATGGCGTGGCATTGCGCAGTGAAGCATTGCATCACAAAGTGTTGCAACGTTAGGCATGGCATCGCACAGCGGCGCAGAAAACAACACTGCACCGCACAGCATGTCATGGCATGGCGCTGGGTTCCTTGGAGGGTAAATGTGTCGTCTTCGAGACGTATGGGCTGGTCTGGAATCGTGGTTCATGTCTAGCGCCTTGGGCTCCCCCACAAACTCCACACAAGGCGGGGCTGACGGAGAGCACAACCTGGCTCTGGATTCAACATCGCTTTCTCAAATCAGAGATGGGGCTCCCGCAGGATATTTCCTGAAATCGACGACGCGTTTCTAAGGTCCAGAAAATCAACGAATCGACACCGAATGCGTAATCACTTGCGATGTTTTTTCCCAACCACCCTGTGGTGTTGGGTCCTCGTTTTGAAGAGACGTCGCCCCGCGTTCCTCCTTCCTCCTCCCTCCCCTCCTCCTCTCATCATCATCATCCTCATCATCCTCATCACCATCATCATCATCATCATCATCATCATCATCATCATCATCATCGTCATCATCATCGTCATCACAGTCCGCATGCGTCTCCCCCACCCAATACAGCGTTTCGTGGCCCCATCGGGGCTCCGCATAGAGTCCCAAGTGGCACAGTCCGCATGCGTCCCCGCCACTCATTTCGGCACACCCCTCACACGTTTCGTGGCCCCATAGGAGCTCCGCCGAAGGTCCCAGTGGACAGTCCGCATGCGTCCCTGCCACTCATTTCGGCACACCCCTCACACGCTTCGTGGCCCCATAGGAGCTGTGCCGAAGGTCCCAGTGGCACAGTCCGCATGCGTCCCCGCCAGTCATTCCGGCACACCCCTCACACGTTTCGTGGCCCCATCGGGTCTCCGCCGAAGGTCCCTGTGGCACAGTCCGCATGCGTCCCCGCCACTCATTTCGGCACACCCCTCACACGTTTGTGGCCCCATAGGAGCTCCGCCGAAGGTCCCAGTGGGACAGATCGCATGCGTCCCCGCCAGCCATTCCGGCCCACCTCTCACACGTTTCGTGGCCCCACAGGAGCTCCGCCGAAGGTCCAAGTGGCACAGTCCGCATGCGTCCCCGCCACTCATTTCGGCACACCCCTCACACGTTTCGTGGCCCCATAGGAGCTCCGCCGAAGGTCCCAGTGGCAAAGTCCGCATGCGTTCCCGCCACTCATTTCGGCACACCCCTCACACGCTTCGTGGCCCCATCGGGGCTCCGCCGAAGGTCCCAGTGGGACAGTTCGCATGCGTCCCTGCCACTCATTTCGGCACACCCCTCACACCGTGGCCCCACACGTTGCGTCGTGGCCCCATCGGGGCTCCGCCGAAGGTCCCAGTGGCACAGTCCGCATGCGTCCCCGCCACTCATTTCGGCACACCCCTCACACGTTTCGTGGCCCCATAGGGAGCTCCACCGAAGGTCCCCGTGGTGCAGTCCGCATGCGTCTCCCTCACCCAGTACACCGTTTCGTGGCCCCACATGGAGCTCCACCGAAGGTCCCCGTGGCGCAGTCCGCATGCGTCTCCCTCACCCAGTACAGCGTTTCGCGGCCCCATAGGGAGCTTCACCGAAGGTCCCGAGTACTCAGAGGCAGTCATTCTCAAACTATTGACATTTATATACAATTATACCATGCTTTGTCATACTCGCATTCATGCACGTAGACTCGCTCGCACGCAGATTCATTCACAGTCAGACGCACTCGCGCTCAGATTCACCCGCGCTCAGTCTCCCTACGTACTCAGATCAATCGTTTTCGTTCGCGGTGTGTACCACGCCACTCATTTCGGCACACCCCTAGCACGGTTCGTTGCCTCATAGGGATCACCACCGAAACAGTGAATCACAATTGCGGTGCTCACACCTGCATATGGTTGGGTCCTTCGTCAGGCTAATTCTGGTGGGGCATTCGAGCAACCAGAGGCGCAGAACTGGGGCCAGCGCTTCAGCGGGAGCAACTTTTTTCGGAAACGAAACAAAGCGAAAACCCATTTCCCGGGAATCCTGTCTAAAAAACAATACGCGGAGGGGGGGGCAGATATCTTCCGGACGTCATCGGGGGGGAGAGAGGAGAGTAGTCTTCATATTGTGTAATTGTTGAAGGGCCAGGGGACGCCTGCGCAACGGGGTCTCCTGATGCAGCTCTCGGTGGCCATGCTCTGGGAGTACGTGGCCGCCGTGCCCGAGCACTTCTCGCAAGTGAAGTCGCTCGTGGACAGCTGCTGGTCCTGGGCATAGCTGTCACCGCGCAGGAGATTCGGCGGAAGGGGGGAAGGAGCAGCGGCAGCAGCACCAAGAGGGGAAAGAGGATGATCAAGTGCACGAGGAAGGGGACGAGAAGGGGAGGAGAAAGAGGAGGGGTAAGAGAGGGACGAGTGGAAAAACGACAATGACGACGACCTCCCACGCTCCTAGGTCCCTGCATTACTCCTCCTCCTCCTCCTCCTCTCCAACTCCTCCACAGCCTCATCGTCGGTCCTCCTCCTCGTCCGCCAGACTGCTCTGGCTAAGGGCTGTACGTTGCCAGTGGTTTCAATTTGCCGCACCTGGCCGACCCCCAAGCGACATCTTCAATCACGTGCTCGTGAACATCATAGCCAGCGTAGACCTCAAACAATGTTTTCAAGCATACTGGGCGGTACAATCTACATGGTGCAAGCTATGTGGTAAAAGCTATGTGGTGCAATTAATTTCTGTTCGCAAACAATTGTCCACTCCACTGCTCGCGCAAACATCCCACCCACCCACCCGCAACTTGGTTTGCAACATCTCTTAAGACCGTGACAGTGGGTACCGAATGGCACTTGGCAACGACAGAGACGCCGACGACGACAGCAACAACGACGACGACGCCGCCGACAACAACTACGACACCGACGACGTCTCCAAAGACTTCGACGACGCCGACAACGACGACAACGACGACGACGACGACACCGACGACGACGACGCCGACGCCGACGACGACAACGACGACGATGACGACGCCGACGACAACGACGACACCGACGACGAGGACGACGACGTCAACGACGCCGACGGCGGCAACGACGACGACGACGACGACGGCGGCGACGACGACGACGCCGACGCCGACGACGACGAAGACGACGACGCCGACGCCAACGACTACGACGAAGACGACGACGACGTCGCCAACGAAGACGACGACGAGGGATGAGGGAGGACGACGACGGCGACAACAACGACAACGACGACAACGACGACAACGACGAGGGAGGAGGGAGGACGGCGACGACGCGAACGACGAAGGAGGAAGAACGGCGACGCCGACGACGACAACGACGAGGGAGGAGGGAAGGCGACGACGACGACAACGACGACGAAGACGACGACGTCCACGAAATAGGAGGGACGACGACGAGACGCCGACGACTGACGACGACGACGATGGAGGAGGAGGAAGGACGACCACGGCGACAACGGCGAGGGAAACGACCTCGACGCCAAAGAGGACGACGACGACGAACACAAGGAAAGACAGAAGACGACGTAGGCGACGACCACGACACGGGAGGAAGGAGGACGGCGACGACGACGACGACGCAAGAGCGCGCGCGCACGCTTTTGTTGAAATCCGTGTTGCGAAACCTTGTTTTTTTTTGTAGGTTTTTTGGACACACGATGTTGAAATCCTTCCGAAGCCGATGGGTTTTGAAGGATTTCGGCGTACGCGCGCGACGACGCGCGCGTCTGCATTTCGTCCCTTTATTTGCAGAGGATTCTCGCGACGGCACACGCGCAAGGGCGTTCGACAGATTTCGACATGCGCGCGCGCGCGAAGCCCGTTTAGTAGCATTTTGTGAAATCTTGAAAAACATATGGTTTTCTCAAGATTTCGCAAGAGCTCGCGCGAAAGTTTTTTTAGACAATCCGTGTTGCGAACCCCTGTGTTTTTGTATGTTGTTTGGAAACTCTATTGCGAAATCCTTCCGACACCGAAGGTTTGGGGAAAATTTCGGCATGCGCGCGCGACGACGCGCGTGTACACCTCGTCCCATTTGTTGCACGGGATTAGCGAAAAAGTCTTATGTTAGAACAAAAGATGTCCCCGCGTATCGTTTTTCGTTCAACAAAAAGACTCAGGGGTAGCGATACCAGCCCCCTCTGGGATAATATAAATTCATATTTAAGATAAACATGTGATCATAATCGCATATGATCTGCATACCCGAAAGGGGGGCGGATAACACCGGGGTGGGGGGTAGAGTCTATTCGCATTTTAGAAAGGAAATTTCACGTGGTGAAATCTACGCGAGCGGTATATGGGGTGTGACCTATGTAGTACAACGTATGTGTTGCAATCAATGTGGTGCGATCTATGTGGGTGCAATGCCAATGCAGTGCAGTGTATGTGGTGTCAGCTACTTGGTACAACCTATGTGGAGGCAACGCACTCATCTAGGTGGTGTGGGCAATGTGATGTAAGCTATGTGGTGCAATAAATTCGGCCCTATCCATGGGGTGTGAGCTACGTATCGCAGTACATGTGGTGCAATCCATGTGGTGCGATCTAATAGAATGCCAACTATGTCGTGCAAGCCGCCGACCCCTTGTAGGTCTCTAGGCATGTGAGATTATCCCCCCCATAATCCCCTCCCCACGGACCCCAAACTGGCAATTCGACCCCCCCCCCCCCCAATTCGACCCCCCCCCCCTGGCCCGGCGCGACCCCCAGACCGAACGCGCCAAGGGGAAACGGGGGGCTCCAAAACGAGCCAAAAAAGGCACACAAAACGCCCCCCAGCGTATATGATTTACATGCCCGAAGAGGGGGGCGGCGAACGCCCGGGGGGGGGAAGAGTCTATTACCTTTTTAGATCGGAGAGTCAATCTGATGTGAGCTATGATATGTGAGCTAGGCGGTGTAAACCATGGGGCGGAATATACGTGATGTAACCCAGTGGGCGGCGACGAACCGGCGCAAACCAGCGTGGGCGGTGCACGACCCCGTGACGAGGGGGCGACGGGCAGCGACGAGCGGCCACGGGGCGGCGACGGTGAGACCACAAGCATGCAGGGGCGGCACACAAAACCGCGACGAGGCGGCGACGGGCGGCGACGTGGCGGCGACGGGGCGGCAACAAGCTGGCTGGGGCGGCACACGAGCCCAATCGCTCCAAAGACATGCTCGCCGACCTCGATGGTTTCGTCTTACGAAAATTGGACATCGACTTCGGTGTGTACATCGATGTTGTTGTTGATGATGATATGGATGGTGACGAGGATGCTGAGAATAACGATGAGTATGATGATGAGCATGCTGTTGCTGATGGTGATGGTGGTGGTGCGGGTGGTGATGGTGATGATTATGCAGGTGGTGTTGGAGGTACACATGACGATGGTGATGATGGCAATGCTGCTGATGATGCTGATGATGATGCCGATGGGCGGGTGCTATGGCCATTGCAACATCCATCTCTTTCGGTTTTCAAAAGCTGACGGCGGCAGAAAGGCTTACAACCGATTCCGAAGGAGACCTGCACCCACACACAGACAGCACAGACGTCGGGAGCTGAGCTTGACAACCCCTCATGCGAGGGCGGGCGGGCATGGGAACTTGAGCAGCATCTCAGCGGATGTGCGGCACTTCTCCCTTCCACCAGCACATTCCACACTAAAGGTGTTGCAATGCCGACGGGCGGGTGCCATGGCCATCGCAACGCTCAATTCTTCCATGTTGTCCAAAAGCTGACGGCGGCAGGAAGGCCTGCAACCGATTCCGAGGTAGACCTGCAGCCACGCACAGACAGCACAAACGCACACACTTCGTAACACTACGTCATGGCCGAAGGCCGCAACAGTCATACATTCTGGGCCGCGACAGCTCATCCGTGGCACGGAGGAAAGATTCTGCGACAAGTTCAGCAACCCTGACAGGGAAACGCGCAGCCATGCGCCTGCGCGCTACGCTCTTGGCCGCGCAGCCGTCAAACTGGAGGCGCGGCTGACCCGGAAAAAATCGCGCCGCCGCACGGGGGTCGCAACAAGCGCGAACACGATCGAGCCGAGGGCAGCGCCAATTGAACACGCGCGCGGCCGAGCGGGCGGCGGATCAGGAAGGGCCCGGGCGAGGCTGGCCCCAGGGGGCTCCACGCGCACTGGCGCAGCATACTCGATGCTCGCTTTAATCATTTCTGCGTTGTCGGCCCGAAATGCAGGGCCCTAGCGAGGGCGCTCGCGGGGGCTGCCCGGCCCCGCGGACCCGCTAGGCAGCGCGCCGGCGGCGACCGGACTCAATCCGGACGCCCCCCGGCAACGAAAACCAGCAGGCACGCGCCGCCGACGATGCCGACGGGCGCGCGCCGCCGACGATCAAATCCAACCCAAACTTCGATCATCGACGGCCCGCGCCGCGAGACCGATGCCCGCGCCCCGACCCGCGCAAAAACTGGGGGCCCCGAAACCGCGCCAACACAACGTTTCGCAAATGGGGGGTCCGCGGGGCCCGACCACTGGCACAACGCATCGACAGCGGCGGCGGGCCCGCCGATGGGCACGTCGAGAAAGCCGACCTCATGCCGGAGGTATTCTGTTGACCAGAACAGGCGCCAGCTTCGCGGCCCGCGGGGCGGGCGCCACTTGCGACGGCTTGGATGAAAGCGAACTGGCGGACAATGACGTGGACGGTGACTCCGTCAGCAGCCCCAGCTCCGCTGGTGCCCGGCGAACCTGCGCGCGCGCCTTGGCGGGCATGGAAGCGCTCGCCCCCGAGGGCGCGCTGAGCGTCGGCGCGCGCCGCCCGGGCGGCGCGACGTCGCGTCGATCGCGACGACGCCCGCAGCGGTGACCCCCGAGCCCGCGAACGCTAACGACAGCGGCCCCCCGCGCATCGGGGAGGCTTTGGACGGCCTGGGGCGGACATGGCCGACCAGCGTCGCGGACGCGTGCGGGCTGGGCAGACTCGCCCAAGCACCCCCCCCCCGCCGGGGCAACGACGGCGCCCGAAGCCAGGGCGGTCAGCAAGGGCACCCTCGCGGCATCCAGTGGATTGGTCACGCTGAAGCCGGGCTCGCGGCGGCCCCGCCACTCCGGGGCCAGCCGCGCGGGGCGTCGCCCCCCCGAGCCCTCGGCGTGTTGGTCGCGGTCGACGTCTCCAGGGAACTGACGGCCCCGTTGGCCAGCTCCCCCGTTCGCGGGCAAGCCAGGCCCTCGGCGGCCGCGAGAGATATGGCTCGCAGCCCCCAGCTCGGCGCGAACTCTGGCCATGGAAGGGCCCGCGGCGGGGCGGCCCGTCGGCCGCCTTCAACGCCGACGGCAGCCGGCGGACGTAGCAGCGAAGGTTGGTGGCCAGGCTGAGAGCCGCGAGCCGCAGAGGCCGCCAGAGCGAAAGGTATCTGACCGACGAGAAGCAGATTCCGACGATGGCGCAGAGAGACGCTGCGAGTGGCGCGGCGCGCAGCGTCGCGCAGCGCGTCGCCCTCGTGTTCTTCGCAGAGCCCCAGCGCGCCCCGGGGGCGACCGTGGCCCGCGCGGGCCCCCCCCAATAGACCCCGGGATCTCGCGGAAGCCCTCGCCGGGGCACTCTTGGACCGAAGACGCGCCCGAGTCCTCGACGACGGCCCCCAGGAAATCTGAATCACCAGTAGCGGCCCCCTCGATGGCAAGCGCGTTCGCCCTTGCCGAAATCGCCCACGCGCATCGACGCCCCCGCCCCTCCGCGACGGGAAAGGCGCCCGAGGCCGAGATGCGCGATCCCCATGGGATCCTGATACATGACGTCCAGAGAAGCAGAGTGCTGGCCACGCGCCGAAGTCCGAAGTTCACTGCGCCCCAGGGGGCCTCGCGCAAGGATCCGCCAATAGACTTGGAAGCGTAGGCCGACGACAGGATGGGCGAGATCTCTCTCCTGCAAATCATTGCCCGCGCGACGTGCCCCAACGGCACCTCCGGCGCGCGGGGCGAAGCGGCGCCCCGCCTGCCGATGCGCCATCGCGCCGGCAGGCCCCGCCCTCGCGGCCCCAGCAGGCACCGTTGATCTCGAGGCCCGTGAAGACGGGGGCGGATGGGAGCCTCGTCGAGCGAGCGAACAGGACGCCCCCACAGCTCCAACTCGCGCTGGACCTGGCCCCCCCCGGCCGCGACCGCGGCGCGGGCCGCGGCCGCGACCGAGTCGCTCCCGACGATGGAGATGTCGCCACCGTAGCCGGCCGCTGCCACGCCCTCGCGGGACACGAGGCCAAGGCGCCCGTCCTCGATGAGATCGCCGTCGCCGAACCCGCTGCGCGCGAGCGCCCTGCGCGGGATACTTTGGCTGAAAAGCAGCGACCGACCCCGCCCCGGCGGCGGGGCGGGCTGCAGCGCGGAATCGATCGGCAACGGCCCTGCCCACGCCTCCTCGATTTGCACGCGGCGGTCGGAGGGGGCGGGGGGCGCGAAATGCCCCCCATGCCCATTGGCGCGAGCGCGTTGTAAAAAGCGCGCTAGACGTCGCCCTGGGCAGCCCGCGCAGCCGCCGTCGGCAGCGGGGCGCGGGGCGGCGCCTCGAACCTCATGGGCCACCCGAGTTGCGAAGTCGGGCCCGAGCGCGCCCGCGCCAACGCTCTCGGCGAAGAAGAAAAACAATGCTATCGTGAGCACCTGCCCGCGCGACGCGGAAACTGGCCATGCCGCCCTCGAGCAACTTCCCCGCGCGCCCTGCGCTGGCCCTGGGGCTGCCGGCCATGGCCGCGTCGACGCATGGGCGCCGCGGCGCGGAAGCCGACCTCGGGCTCGAAGCAAACGACTCAACCTTGGGCGCGGTCCGTCTCCATCCCGAGGAACTATCTTGCTCGGACTGGTCGACGGGGTCAGCGACTTCCACTGGCGGCGTCGAGAGGTCAGGCCAGGGCGCGGGACCCTTGTCGCGGGGCTCGACGGCACGACGCGTTGGGGGTCCGTTGAATGCCCGTCGCCGACGTGAACAGCTCTGTCCAGGCCGCGTCGCCTGAAGAGCGGTCCTCTCGATGTTCGGGGGGGAAAGGAAATCGCTGATAAGCTTGCGCGCTGCCCCCGTCGACCTGGGAGGCACCGAGAGCGCAGACGAGTGGCGGCTCAGCTGGCGCAAGGACGCGACGCCGTCGCTGGCCCATCGCCGCCGCGCAGCCACGCGCCGGACGCGCCGGCGCCCCCGTCGGCCCAAGCAGGCGCGGGCCCGAGCGCCCGCCGCCATGGGTAGCAAGGGGAACGCGTCACGCTGTCGAGCGCCATGCTCAATCTGCGCGTCATAAAGCAGGGGGTCGCCCGGGCGGCAACGCTGTGCCTGCGCCCGCCTGGGAGGAACCTCCTTGGGACCACGCGCGCGCCGCCCGCTTCCCGCGGGCTCTGCGCCTCTCCTCGGCGAAAGTGGGCCCCGGCTTCAGCTGGTCAGCGATGAACTCGGTGGGTGCGGAGGCGAAGCGCAAGTTTCCTGCCCCCGCCGAGGCGCTCATGTGGTGGTCCGCGCCCGCCGCCTGCAGCGTGTCACTCACCGCCGCGGCCTTCTCGTCCTTGCCCGACTTCGTGTCCTCCGTCGCGGCCTGAGCGGTGACGATGTCCTCGTAGTGGCGCCCCTCGGTGGTCTGGATCCGCCCGCAGCCCAGCTGGCCATCCGAAACCTCGGCGCGGTTGATTTGGACGCAGCAGCGCCGCAGCTCGAGCCACCCACTATTCCACCTGTCAGACGGCGTCGGATCTCTGCAGCCGATCCTTTGCCTTCCACTCGGAGTGCCACGCCAGCGGTCCACCAGCGCCCCTCCGCATGATATCCAGGCACCAAAATGTCGTGCGCGGTCCCTGGATCGGCCACGCGGCCAGCCACGTCCAGCAAACCTGCATGGCCGCGGTCGCGACGTCCAACGACCTCTGGGCCGCGTCGGGAAACACTCGCCCAAGCACGCGACGATCTGGCAACCCCGCGCCAGGCCCAGCGAGCTGCGCCTCCGCCGCCGCGGGCACGGCCGCTCCAGCACCGACAAGCATCGCATGGAAGGCTGGCGGGGGCACGGCCACCCCGATGGTGGCCACGAGAGTGGGGGCACCTCCAAGCCCTCTGGTGCCAGCGGCCCCGCCTGCAGGCACAGCCCCAGTCAGCGCCAGCGGCGCCCGCACCAGGCGCGGGCGCGGACGCGACCGCGGTGGCGGGGGCGCGGTAGGCCAACACGTTGGCCTGGTCAGCCCTGCCCGCGTCCGCGCCTCAACCTCCCGCCGAGTCGAAAGGCTCGGGCGGCACCGTCGCGCTGACCAGGGCCGCGGCGTAACGGAGGTGTCCCCACACAACCCCAGCACTCGGGGCGTCCGAGACTTCGCGCACGTTCGCCCCGACGATGCCGACGGGCGGAGCCTTTCAACACAGCAGGGGACGGATCTCCACGGCGATGGCGTCCACCCCCGTGGTCTGCTTCAGGACATTCCCATCGACAGTGAGGACCAGGGCCGAGGTCAGTGCCACCACGAGAAGCAATATTCGTTCGTAGTACACTGCAGGCCAAGCGGTGCGAGACGAAATAGCGATCGCCTCACCTGGCAGCTGCATGCTGGATGGCGGCCCCTGCCCGCTGCGATACCCGCGCGCGAATCTCCTCGGCAGTCGAGCGCGGCGAGATGGCCCTCCACTCGGTCCTGCCGATCGGGCCGAAGAGGAGAACGAGAGAATGACTGACACCAGACGCTACCCGTGTGGTCACGTTGGAGCCGTCGATGCTGGGGCACGAGAGGCTGCAGGGCGACGGGCACTCGCGAGTACACGCAGGACAGGCACGGAGAGCCCAGCAGCAGCGGAACCAGTCACCAAGGCCAACAGGGCGCCCCGCGAGAGTTCTGGGAGAATCCGAGCGGCGGCGGCGTGTGCCCCTCAAAAACTTGAGCACAGTTTCAACTGATGTGCAGCCATTGCCCCTTCCTCCAGAACATGAAACACTAAAGTTGTCACTAATATAATGATGATGTTGATGATGCTGATGATGCTGATGATGATGATGATGACGTTGATGATGATGATGCTGCTGATGATGCTGATGATGATAATGATGATGATGGTGATAATGCTGCTGCTGATGATGATGATGACTACGATGACGATGATGGTGATGGTGATGATGGTGATGGTGATGATGATGCTGCCGCCGAGGGGCCTAATCACGTTACTGTTAAAAGCCCTGTCAACGCTGCCGAATCACATCTTGGCTGAAGACAAAAAAACGGTGTTCGCTGGACCGCCGGCTCCAGCAACTGCGCACGACATCGCGTGACGGCACTTCCACAGTGGCATTCAGCGCGGATCTTGTCTCACGTAAGCCTCGTGTTGCCCGTGGCCCCGAGACAAACTTACGCAAAAAGTTCAAGGCCATGAGAAGGCGCATTTGATATCTTCAAACTTTACATCGTATTACACTGGGAAGCCCAAGCTACTCAACAACTACATATCAAAGGTCCGACTGGTGAACATGTTTGGTAGCATAGATTCCGGCAGCCCCTGAACGCCGTCGCCGAGGCGCAGCTGATGACCCCCCCCCCTGGGCCCCGAGAACCTCCGGGCACCTCCGAAAGTCTCCGCAAACCCGAAAAAGCCTCCGAGAACCCCCAAGAACTTCTCCTGACCTCATATCATCTCCGAAAGCCACCCGAAATAATTTCTGAAAGCCTCCGAAAATCTCTGATCACCTCCTCGCCTCCCCCCAGTTGGGCGGGTCCTGGGGAGAACAAAACATACCAATACCGCTACTCCCCAGACCTTTCCCTGGGCGAGTTACCACCAGGATTTCGAGGCGAATTCAACGGTGGCGGCGACGGCTTCCCAGGAGCCCTGAAAAAGGAGCAAACGAGGGATGCGTAGCTGTATGAGTACCTTTGCCTCCTCCGAAGTCCTGTTTCAGCGTGGTGGCCTCGAGCGCCTCCCGCCTGCCGGCGCCGCTGGGGGGCGAAGGGTGGTGCCAGGGCTCGAGCTAAGCAGTGTTTTGCTTGTGTTCGCTTTGTGTTCGTTCTCCTTCGATATATTTTCGTTGTTCTTTGCGTTTCCTTCGTCCTTTGCTTGTTTTGTTGTCGTTTTCCTTCGTTGCCTCTGCTGCAAAACGAGATTACAACGAAAACTGTCCACGAAATCGCCCAAACACCGTCACCCCTCCGAGGAGTAAGGTCCGCGCGGATCTCTCGGATCTCGGTGGCGCGTCTAGGGGGAAGTGAGATGAGGCAGGCCTTCTCAGAAGGCAAGAGCCACAAAACTGCAGCATCTTACATTTTCGACAGTCCGCGCAGACTTCTTGGATCTGCGCTGGAGCCTGCTGGCGGCGCCTTCGGCGCCGCCCCCGGCGCCCCCATTCGCTTCGATGGCGGCCGCGGGGGCCCTCGGCTGGGCCAGCGGCGCTGCCGCGCGAGGGACAGAACCGCCGTCACCGTAAACTGCACGCCGCGGCCGTGGCGCGCGCGGCCCCCGGAATGCCGGCGCGGGCGCGGCCCGCGCCGATTGGGCCCCAGACGTCGCCGCGCGCGCGGGCCCCCCGCACGGCAGCTGGCAATGGTCTGGCCGACAGGGCGCCTACACTTACGCTGACTCGCCGTGGAAACAACATGCTGCCATGTGTAATCCAGAAGTGTGGGGGCTGTGGTCGGCTTCCCACCGTTCACCAGATGCAGGCAACAGGGGGGAGCAGGCGGCGCAGCAGTAAACACCAGTGCACAACCGCGCGCACTGAGATCGATTCGCACAGAGATCGCGGGGGGGAAACAAAAAACAAGTGATTCGCCAGCGACCGCGAAGGCAAGGAAAGCACGAAGGCTCAGCAGGGCGCGCGCCAACCCAAGCCAAGGAGAGGGCACCGAAGCAGGGGCGCAGGGGAAGCAAAGATCGGACGGGGCAGAGGCAGCAAAACTCGCAGCTTGACGCCTGACGCGAGCGAGCGACCACCCAGAACGCGACAGCAAAGTCCACGCTAAGTGCTCCGCCGCAACCTGCTGCGAACCAACTCAGGCGCAGCCGGGCCCAAAACTGAACATGCAAGCTTGGGCGCGCTGAACAGCGAAAGGCACCTGCAAGCAGATGCGAAGCCACTGATGGGGCACCATCGGGGCGCGATCAAGACGCCGTCGGACACCGATCGCGCCACCAACCAGGACGCCACTGGGACGCCATCGGGACATAATCGGGACACCATCGGGATACCATCGGGACACAATCGGGACACTGCCGGGACACCACCAAGACACCATCGGAACACCATCGGAAAACCGCGGTACAGCACGGCAAACCACTAGACACCGTGGGACACCATCGGGACACCGCGACAGGAGACCCCTACCGCCGGCCAGCCGGGGGGGCGGGAAGGCGTCTTTTCGCCTGGCGACGCCCCAGCCAAAGGTTCATTCTCTCGTCCGCCCGCGCAGCTTCGCCTCGGCCGCATGCGCAGCGCGAGCGCGAAACCGAGACCGATTTCCCGGAGGGGGGTTCTCCGTTCCAGTTCGATATCAACCCCCCAACCTCCGACTAAGCGGCAGATGGCCTGGCAATGCCGCGAGAGCACTTGCAGAGGATAGCCGCTGGAGCCGGCGCTGAAGGCCAGACGCGAGTGGCAAACAGCGATTGATGAAGAGCGCGGCGCAGCAGACATTGGGCATCAGTAGTTGCGACGGGCGTTGGATGCCCCAACGAGCAAGAGGTGCATGCCGGGGCGGCCCATGAGAAGCGGGCCGTCAGACACTAGCAACGCAGATGCGTGGCCAGGCCGACGGGCGCCTACGCATCAAGCGCCGAGCGCGAAGAACCTGGGGCAAACCGTGGTCCAAGAGCGCCGGCGCGCAGGAGGTGCGGGCGGCCCGCCAAATCGAAGACGAACGGGGGCGACCCGCGACGACGGGGGGAACGAGAAAAAACACGGGGGCGACCCGCGACGAGGGGAGAACGAGACAAAGGGCCGCCTGCTCCGCGGAAAACAGGCGCCCGATTATGAGCGAAACTCGGCGCGCAACAAAAATGCCCAACTCGGCCTGTCCTGGCTGAGCGGGGCGCGCTGGGCGCAGGGGGCCCGCCAGAACGAAGGGGCCGAAACGGGGGCGAGGAACGCGAGCATGAGTGCGTCTAAGTTGCTCGAACGCAAACGCTAAGTAAAACAAATGAGCAATGCCGAAGGTTGTCTCTCGCGCGCTCTGGCGCCAGCACTGAAACGCATGCTTTACCCCGCAAAGCACTCCACCACCACCCCCGACATCCGGGAAAACACCTACAATTTAACTTGCCAAACGCTGAGCCGCTATCGCGGCGACATGCCTTCCCGCTTTTTCGTGATGTGGTTCGTCGGCGCACCGAGGGTCGGAGGGCGCTCCAGACAGCCCTTGCAAAGTTGCTCGAGGGCCACCGCCCTGCCCGACTCCCCGACGCGACGAACGCAGCGCTGGCAGAAGGCGACGCCGTTGACCTCGGCTATCCAATGGTCGAGGTCGCGGAGCAGCCCCACTCGGCAAGATCCCGCCCCCCAGGGCTCCGCGCCAGAGGCCCAAGAAAGTCCCGCGGGGCCCCGCCGCGCGACGGCCCGGGCCGCGAGACGCCATCGCAGGCCGCGGACGAGGCCGATCCACCCCCCGACGCAGAACCGCCCGCCCCGGGGCAGGCAGGGATCGGCCCCCCACAGCCACTCGCCCCAGGCCCCACAGGGACCAACGCCGAGCCCTCGGGTTCAGGTTTGGGCCCCCCAAGCAGCCTCGCGGCCGCCCCCGGCGCCGCGCGGGCCCCCATCGGACACCAAACGCTCCCGCTCATCGGGGCCCCGCCCCCCGAAAAAAAACCATTCGCTTTCCGACGGTCGAAAGGCGACGGGCGGCAGCGTGCAGCAGCAGCGGCGAAGGATCGGAGTCCTGCCTCCGGCTTCGCGAGGATGCCGCACTCGCGGCAGCGCCGCTCACCTCGGGCCTTGCTGCGCCAGAGGTCGCGACAACCAGGCCCAGAGATCAAAGCGACGGGGCCATCTGCCACAGGCTGGGGGGCCCTCGAACCAACGGCCTCCAACGACGACTCAGACGAGCACAGACCAAACTCAATCAGGTGCCCCCCAGCCCATGCCAAATATCGCGAAAATCCAGAGACTCCTTCAGGGCCAACCTATACAAATCAGCCATCCCATGGCCAACCGAGTCGCACGTGGCCCCATGTGTGGCGAACAGATCAGCCCATGCATTCCCAAGGGCGTGAATGAACGGGGGGCCTTTATCAGGCCCGAGGCAGACAGCCTCGTCCAGGACTGTCTGCATGGGCAGGGCTCCAGTGCGCAACAGGGCGCCCCCCCCCCCCCCCCCCAGACTCGACAAAGGCCTGAATATGCCTCCACGCTGCCGCGCGCATGCCTGCTGAGCTGGCGGCGTCTGAACTCCATCCATGCGCCTCCTGAGGCGAGCCAGGAAGATCGGTGACAACGATCTCAACAAACGGCAACTTCTGCCGCGCTCAAGGCACCGCCACTCGCTCGGCCTCGCCGGCCGTCTGACTCGGCCCCGCCAGTTGCCCGTAGCGCGCGCGCAACGGGGGCCCATCCGCAACTGCGGACTTCTGGCTGGTTAGACCACCTCCCTGAGCCGTCCGTGAATGCCGCGTTGCCCCGCTGGCTCGGGGGGGCGGCCCAGTCGCCCCACCGGAGAATCGGTGGACGTCTAGCCGGCTGCACTCGCGAGCCCGGCAGCAGCGGCAAGCCCGCCGAAATCTCAAAAATGCGTCGATCAGAAACCCCGCGGCGCCCAATCGAGCCCTGGGCATTAAAAAGCCGCCCATATTTTGTCATGGGCTTCCGCGATGGTCACCTCTTCTCCTCCGTTGAGAAGCGGCCCCCGAAAAGCGGGGCACTTCGAGAGAATGTGGCCTTTACACGTGAACCCTATACTCAGAGCCAGTCTGGGGGAGGGGTAGAAAACCCTTGAGGGGGGATAGGCGGAGCAGAGCCCGAGAGGGCTGGCAGGAATACTGCAAACACAACAGACCGATGCTGACGAGACGATATTTGCACCAGGGCGCGGGCCGAGGGGGTGTTCAACCCCAGAAATTCTTCAGAGAAAAAGAGAGCAGCTCAGCTGGCTGCATGAGCACAGCAATAAACCCAGGCCAGCTACCTGAGCCTTCGACCTGGGCCAAACCACAAAACTTTTTCGACCCCTCCCCAAAGGGAGGGTGCGGTGGGGCCGACTTGAGCCCAGAGGGGCAGAGGGGGACGGAGGGGGAAAGGGCGGCTAACAGACTACGACGGGTAGTGTAAAATAAAGTTCAAGAACAACTATTTACACGGGAACCCTATACTCAGAGCCAGTCTGGGGGAGGGGTAGAAAACCCTTGAGGGGGGATAGGCGGAGCAGAGCCCGAGAGGGCTGGCAGGAATACTGCAAACACAACAGACCGATGCTGACGAGACGATATTTGCACCAGGGCGCGGGCCGAGGGGGTGTTCAACCCCAGAAATTCTTCAGAGAAAAAGAGAGCAGCTCAGCTGGCTGCATGAGCACAGCAATAAACCCAGGCCAGCTACCTGAGCCTTCGACCTGGGCCAAACCACAAAACTTTTTCGACCCCTCCCAGCCGACCCGACTGGGCCACTGGCCAAAGGCCTTCAAAAGAAAAGACTGCCGAGCACGGGCGACACGGGTGGGTGGGAGAGCGAGGCAGATAACCTCACAGCTTTGCTTAAAACCTCACGGCCTCCCCCCAAGGAACCCCCTCTCCAGACTTGGCTCGATATCATTAGGTGGGGAGAGGGAGCTGCCTACGTCGCTCCGTACATTGCGACGGGGACCTCACGGCCACGGGCGCTCGCAAGAGCACCGACGATGCGTCTGCCGAGAGGCGTCCCCGCGCCTGGCCCTCTCACGACGGCGTCGTGCACCGCCTGGCGCGGGCGGCGCCAGAAGGCACAGCCCTGCTTGATCTGCGTGCC